CAAAACAGTGGCCCTTCAATGGATTCCTGGTCACTGTGGTATTAAAGGCAATGAGCTTGCTGACACACTTGCTAAGAAGGGGACAACGATTTTGCAATGCTTGGACCGTCCGATGTCTTTCCACACAATGAAGGCCTTAATCAGGAGAGAATTCCATATCTCAAGGTGCAACGAAATTAAAGCTTGAACAAAGGAGAAACAGTGGACAGTGGCACTCTCCGACCTACCCGACTGGCCAAGAATCGAAGCTGTTGCTGAGTTTAGACTACGTACCGGACACGATTGCTTGGCAAAACAACTTCACAGACTGGGAGTACACACTCACCTCACATTCTCTCTATGTAACCTACAGGAGGAAATGGAAAAGACTCACCTGATTCGGTGTCCAGCCCTAAATACAAGGACGGAAAGCCAGAGATACTGGGAAGCAAGAAGACAGCTAATGAATTGCTATTAATTAACTGCTATTAATGTTCCCCCCCCCTCTTCTTGATGGAAGCTGAAGTCAAAGATTAAGGACTAATGATAAATATCATAAAGCCTGCCATTTGATGGTGTTCAGAAGAGGATGAAAAGTGCTCCCAATTTTTCCGATAATCTTAATGCAAACTGTAGCGGTAAAACAGATTGGTTATCTGCATCTCAGAAACTTTTTTTAAACATTTTTATTGGCCCACCACAGCAAAAATTTGCATTTAATGCACAAAGATATTCCTCTTGAAAGAGCCAACGAGTTCATTGATTTCAAAGTGACGTTTGACACACAACTAACGTGGAGAAGCGACACTGATAAAATAGAAGAATCTAACCTTTATAGACTTATCCCACTGAAGGTCCTCAACGGGAGTGGATGAGGCTATAAGTGCTCAACCCAAGCAAAATTCATTTACAGGATTCAACCGATTGAAATCCCATTCTGCCTATGGCGGCACGCCAGTAACGATTGAATTATACCCTCTCTCATTCATCATTTTAAGATGATAAAATAATTCTTCGATGAAAAAATAGTGTCAATGTTTATGATCATATATCCACGCCATCAATATTCTGCCATTAAATTAATACTCAAATGCTGAGCCACAAATAAATTTTGTTCTTATTTTTAATTTTATGAATGAGAATTCACAATGCAAAAACGGATGCGATTTCTCATATTTAGCTTAATCATATGCGCAAACACCTACAATGCCATATGTGATCATTTACGTTAAAGGAATATATAATTTTAGTCTAAATATATATTATTTCAACCGCAACGCCAAGAACAATATAACAATATTACATAAAGATTTTTTTAGTGAAATAAGTTAAAAAAATTGCTTTGTGCGTTATATCGGTCAAATGAACTAATTCTGTTCATAAAAAAATTAAATAAACAGAAGGGACAAAATCCACGGCAAAATGGAACAATGAAAGCGTTTTCATGATCTAAAATTAAATTGTAGTGAAATCAACTATTTTCCTATCATTTATTCAGATATGTTTGGAAAGAAAACAATGAAACCTATTGTTGGAATCGACCCCCAAAAAGTATTAATATAAATAAATCACAAAAAGCACATTATTGGGTGATTATTCGGCAGCCGATTAACTTCAAAGCTGCACTCCTGAGACTGAATAGTTCATCGTTAAAACCCGATGCCATTAAAAATTACGTTCCCAAAAGCCTGACTTGAAGTATAGTATGCTAATTGTGCGTATCAACATTTGCAAAGTATTAAGCTTATTTTAATAGGATAATTGATTTTCCAATACCCAAGCATCGCTTCCAAAATTTGGCCATTCGAATCAAAAAGGTGGGAAATGGGCACAGTTTTAATGATTTGATATTCATTAATACTTAAATGAATAAGTAGTGGTAGTGTACTTGTTGTGCTTCAGAATGAGCTTCTTTGTTGAATCTGCTTTGTAAAATTCGGTAAGAAATTTAATTAATTAATAATAAAACAAAACATATTTATTTCAAATGGCAGGCTTTAAGATATTTATCACTAGCCCTTAATCTTTGACTTCAGCTTCCCCCAAGAGGGGGGGGGAAGTACATTTATAGCAGTTAATTAATAGCAATTCATTAGCTGTCTTCTTGCTTCCCAGTATCTCTGGCTTTCCGTCCTTGTCTTTAGGGCTGGACACCGAATCAGGTGGGTCTTCTCCATTTACTCCTGTAGGTTACACAGAGGGCATGTGGGTTGAGTGTATACTCCCAATCTGTGAAGGTGTTTTGCCAAGCAATCGTGTACGGTACGCAGTCTAAATTCAGCAACGGCTTTGATTCTTGGCCAGTCGGGTAGGTCGGAGAGTGCCACTGTCCACTGTTTCTCCTTTGTTCGAGCTTTAATTTCGTTGCACCTTGAGGTATGGAATTCTATACTGATTAAGGCCTTCATTGTGTGGAAAGACATCAGCCGGTCCATGGATTACAAAATCGTTGTCCCCTTCTTAGCAAGTGTGTCAGCAATCCCATTGCCTTTAATGCCACAGTGACCAGGAAACCATTGTAGGACCACTGTTTTGTTTTTCTCTCTCATCAGCTCATAGAGTTTTCTACATTTCTTTATCTCAGCTGCTTTGAGTGACTCTCTGTTTCCAATTGAGTTTAATGCTGACTGTAAGTCCGAAAGTATCACCGCTTTAGTGAATTTCGTATTCTGGCAACATAATGGGCATAGTGCTATCCTAAAAGCCTCTATTTCTCTATCAAAAATGGATCTTTTATGTCCCGCTGCTGCGTAGAAAGAGAAGAGTTCAGAATAGACACCTACACCAACGTTTGCTTGGTTTACTATGTATGACCCATCAGTGAAGACTTGGAGCCATTGATCTCCAGGATAGTTGACATTGATTGTCTCAAGGGCCAGTGAGCGCATTTGTTCTGGAGGGGTGTTTGATTTCCTGAAGAAGTCAAGCAGTTGGGTGCAACACACTACATCAGTGTCTGCTAATGGGTTCAGGGGAAGAGAGAGGCTTTTTGGTTTGTCATCGATTTGAAATTTTTTCTTAAGTTTTATGGCTTTCTGTATTAGACCAGATTGCGTTTTCAGATGTCTTGGTCTATTCTCATAGGTGCTGAAGAACTTGTCCATGGGAATGCGCAGTAGCTTCTCATACAGGATTAAGGCCTTTTCTTTGATAAGGGAACATATTGTGGTGCTTCCTGTAACTAGGAGCATTGCATCAATTGGTGTTGATTTTATCCCTTCAGTAATTAGTCGTAAAGCTTGGTTGTGTGCCTTCTCGAGTGGTTTGAGAGTCACCTTTGTGGCTGTAATAGGTGGTTCTCAGCAATACAACATTATTGGCTGAATAAACATCTTGTAAGTGGTGTTGAGAGTTGAGCGTGCACAGCCCCATACGCTACCAGCATGACGCTTCAGGACATTCACTCTATTGGAGACTCGTTCTGCTATTTTAACAATGTGACTTTTCTCCGTTAGCTTTGTGTCAAAAGTCATTCCGAGATATGTGAACTCATTGGTATTTACTATGGTAGTATCCTTGTACCTTAAAAGTGGGTTTATGCTCTGATGGGCCTAAGAAAATGTTTGGAATGCGGTTTTTGCAGTGTTAATTACCATTCCATTGTTGTCACACCAGTTTGCTAGTAGTTTAAGTGCACTATTAAGAGCACTTTCTGTTCTCCCCTGAGCGTTTCTCTAGGGGCGGAATACCATAGAACAAGATCATCTGCGTAAAATAAACACTTGATTCCCGTGACTGTCTGTACCAATTCGACTATGTTATTGATGAAGACATTGAAAAGAGAGCCGCTTGTGACAGATCTCTGTGGAAGGCCTGTTTGTTAAAGATTGAATTTGGATAGAGCAATTCCATATCTGAATTTACACGATCATTGCGCATTTTGATAGAGCATTAAGATATCTGACTTTACATGATCTTTGTACAATGAATGCTTTTATCCAGTTTAGCATGTTATGTTTAATACCAATTTGCTTTTATCCAGTTTAGCTTGTTATGCTTAATACCAATCTTTGCCAGTTCTAGAATTAGCTTCTCTTTCCATACTAAGTTATATGCTGAGTTGAAGTCAACGAAAACATTCGTAAGGGTATTTCTTGCATCAGTGGCATCCTTGATGTGCTGGGAGAAAGTGGATTCTTGTTGGTTTTGGCCTAAAATGTTCACTCCTAAGAATATTGCTGGTCTCAAGGAACCAGGTGATTCACTCCTAAGAATATTGTTAGTCTCAAGGAACCAGGTCCGAGAATATTGTTAGTCTCAAGGAACCAGGTGTGTTCACACCTAAGAATATTGTTAGTCTCAAGGAACCAGGTGTGCCTCCTGTAAACCATTCTTTCCATAAGTTTAGCCAGCACACTTGTGAGGATCTTTCCATAAGTTTAGCCAGCACGTTTGTGAGGGAGATAAGCCTATAGTTGCCAAAGTTGCTAGGGTCTTTGCCTTCTTTTCCTATAGTTGCCAAAGTTGCTAGGGTCTTTGCCTTCTTTTAGCATTGGTATTACTATGGCAACTTTCCATTGGTTAGGTACGAGCCTGGTCTCCCAGATTTTTTTGTTAAGCGTTAGCATGGTTTCCTTGGCTTTTGAACCCATTCTTATTAGAAATTCTGGATGAATACCGTCTTCGCCAGGAGACTTTTTGGACTTGAGTTGTTTTATCGCAGCATTAAGTTTGCAAGGTCGGAATGGTTCAGTTAGTACATTATTTGGTGTTGCTATGTCTTCCTTAATTTCACCAAACTGTTTTACTTGTATCTTTTAATCTCTTGAAGATTTTCTGAAAAAGGGTTTTTTTTTGCTTGTGGAAAAAGAACCTCGCAAAGCAGTTAATTTTTAATGTTCATTTTATCAAAGAGTTGTGCAGACCTAACGGCATAAAAGTTAGCTTCTGAATTTAGGCTATCATGACTTGACCCAACATCATATTCCGCTTCTTCGGCGGTTCTTACTACAACTTTAACATATTTGAATCTCTAAACTGTTCCCAAACTGCCAAAAACATATTCAATTTAGAACTATGAAATAATTTGAAACGTAACGCCGTATTTAATGCATGGAATATGATGAACAAATCCATTGAGTTTACCTGTTTTGATTTAACTGCCAAATTTGGCAGCAAATGTCTAAGGCGGCTTTTCAATGGCGACTCAAGAGGGCAGAAATTTGAAGAGCCCATATGCAATGATAGTGTTTGACTTGCTCTCACTTAAGGCAATAAATAGTTGTTAACAACAAGGTACGATTATTATTGCTAATAAACATGATTATATTCTATTATTATTATTTCAGATATTACTGTTGAAAATGCACATTTAGAGGTGATTTAAAAATGAATCCAAAAGGAAATACTTTGTCATGTTAACAGAAATTGAATCTATCATGTCTTATTGATAGATTTACATTCTATATTGTGAATGTGCTTTAGGGTTTTGGAAAGAGGTGATATCATTTCTTGAAAGCTGGTTGTCAAAGGATTCCAAGGGTAAAATTTGATCTTTTAATAATGTTAATATTGGGCTATTATTCTTTTATAAGATATCAAGCAAGAATACATTTCAACTCCAAATGCCTTGAAATTTATCTTGGTCAAACAAATCTATTTCACAGTTTCTTACGTAGATTCCATTAATTTGCTCATAGATTGGCGTCAATATCATTCATTAACCGCTTGCATTGGCAAAATGTGAAGGCTATTTACTGTTGCGAAAACTTCTGAAATACAATAGCCAAGCCTGTCTAAATGCGGACGGCTGCATTTTCCCGGACGAAACCAATTGTCATTCGTTAAAGATATTCCAACGAGAACGAAAATAATTACTTTAAAAATCCTTTATTTATGACTAGTGACTTAGGGACTTTGATTAATTGTCATTTAAATATTTTAAAAAATCAACATCCCTGCTAAAAGAAAAAATTGTGAATTCGTTTAACGCACAGGAAAAGTTTTTTAGTCAAAATTATACTTATTTATCATCTGACCCCATTTCGAAATATTTTACTCGAAACTCAAACTTTAGGTATAGCCAACAAATTGTGCATTCAAAATGACGACTCGACGTTTACAGTTTTGTTTGGGATTATAAAAACAATAATTACATTTAACACGTAAATTTACATGTTCAAAGGTTATTCATCACTGATAATATATGTTATTTCAATTTTTCTTAATTGAGCAAGTAATGTATTTATGTGTTATATGATGCAAAATGCCTGATTTCTTATGCATATATTCATAAATTAGAATATCATTTGACTTATTTGTTTTGCCAAACGTCAACAATCAAATATAATAATATGAAATAGAAATGATGCGATAACGTTAACTTTGTAAATAGTCTTGCGTGGATAAGCGAAAATAATTTGAAAATGCTCCGCATTTAATTATAAACAAAGTGCAATTTGTTCATTTCTATATTTTAAGTGTAATTATTATGCAATTGAATTTCTTTATTGTTTTACAAATGCAGATCAAACAGCGAAAGTCATTCTGAAGCAAATAAAATACACTACCACTACTTAATTAAATAAGTATATATGAATATCAAATAATAAAAAATACACCCAATCCCTCCTTTTTGTTACAAATGGCTAAATTTTAAAACGATGCTTGGATATTGAAAAATCGATAAAACTATTTAAAATAGCTTACCCTTTAGCAGATATTGACAAGCTCCAATAGCTTATTATACTTTAAGTCTAGCTTTTGGGTGCATAAAATTTAGTGGCATTGGTGTTTTACACTCAAAATTCAGTCTCAGGAGTGCAGCCTTGAAATTCATCGACCCTCCGAATAATCACCCAACGAAGTGTTTTCACTCTAAGCCATTGTAAAGGTTTAGGCCTGTTTTTGTCGTTTAAAGGTGTTTCCTTGTGATTTTCATATCTAGGCATCTTGCATTGAATGATGTTTTCGATCCAACAAAACATTTCAATGGCTATCTATCCAAATTACAATCTTTAAAGAAAAAATATGATTATAGTCAATTTACATGACAGCATTTATTATTGTAATCACATCGCAACTATTTGCAATACAATTACTATTAACTTTTTCTTACGTTTTTTCAAAACTATATTTGCTGCAGATTGTTTTATTTAAGAAATTGAGAATACATATGACTGAAATAAACATATAATTCATTGTTTTTAAATAATCTATTGCCGCTCATGTGAGTACGGATACATTTATTACCATTTCGGGAGAGCTGAAGAAGTAGGATTTCAATAATAAATGGTTCTGGCTGTAAGAACATTTAAGAAACACAAATTTATTTTAGTGAAAGCTTATATTTTAGAAAGATAAGTATGGAAAAGCAAATAATGTAAACAAATGTTGGAATTTACTCCAAATATATTATAATGAATAATTCAATAAAAAGGCAATTGAGCCAATTTAGGTAAATCCATTAAGTTACAGATAGTTCTTCTTGAAAATCTTACATTCACGACTACCAATATCAATTATTTAAGGAACTATAGTAACGTTGTGAAAGAAAATCATTGAAGGCAATTGAACATCAAATGTTTTTCCCATTTCATCTTTTTGAACTTGCCGTCAATTTGGACATAATGGAATGCCATCTTCACACCTCTTAGGCGTTTTAATATAACTTTTTTTAAAAATTAAGTTATTTCTGGAAACGATTAAAATATGCAATCATATTTATGCTGTTAAAGTATAATTATAAGGCTTATTCTTATACAATTCGATGATCAGTATATCAAGTTTAAATACATTTTAAATGAAAAACATTTTACTTTGGACAGTTTGACGTATTAATAATAAAAAGCAGACACATTCTATGCAGACGCCACGCTAGAGTTGAAAGTTAAAGAAAGGGAAACATTAAAAGGAAAAAAGGTAATCTTAAAAAAAGGTAATCTTAAAAATGCACTTCTTTAAACTTTGTCGCACAAAAATATTTCGAGAAACCATTGTAATTGGCAACTGTATGTTGAATATTTCTGCCAAAAGGAAAAGCAGATAATTTAAGAAAAATATGTTTTAAAAGTTCCGTCTCACATTTTGAACGTCATCAATATTCTGGCATTAAATTAATGCTCAAATGCTATGCCACATTTAACTTTCAAACTAATTTTTGATTAAATGAATGAGCATTAACTATGAAAAATCAAATACAATTTTTCATGCTTAGCTGCTTTATATGCGCAAGCGCCTACAACGCCATTTACAATCAATCAAGTTAAAGGGAAAAATTCACGGCAAAATGTTGACAATGGAAGCGTTTTCATTTTTAGTGAAAACAACTATTTTCTAATCGTTTGGTCAAATACGTTTTGTAAAGAAAATAATGGAACTATTGTTGGAATTCACTCCAAAATATTAAAATGAATTAATTAACAAAAAGTCACCTCAGACAATCAAGGAGATTCCATTAATTCACAGATATTTCTTCTTGGAAATCTTAAATTCACGGCTACCAATGACAATTATTTAACGAAATATGCTAACGCTGTGGGCGATAAAGAACATTAAAATTAATTTCGCAGCAAATACTCTTACAACTGTTTTTATCGATTTCAAATCAGCTGATGACATAGTCTTGATTAGGGGACCTAATTCTAAAACTGGCGAGGATTGGTAAAAAAACATGACTTGCTAAATTAGATGAATACATTCATTGGACAAAGAACATGTAAAGTCAGATATAAAAAAGTGCTACCCAAATCCAATCTTTTACAACCAGGCCTTCGACAGGGAGCTGTCACCGGCTGATCTCTTTTCAACGATTTCACCAATGACATAGATGAACTGGTACAGAGAGTCATGGGCACCAAGTGCTTACTTTATGAAGACGATCTTGTTCTATGAGATTTCGAACCCCAATTATGCTAACAGTCAATTATCAAACTTTTGCGACAAAATAGAGAGGTTATTAGCATCTCAAAAACTGTATGTAAAGCATTTTCATTGACCCACCACAGCATAATTCCGCATTTAATGCACAAAGATATTTCTCTTGAAAGAGTTAACGAGTTCATTTAATTTGAACTGATGCTTGACACACAAATAACGTGGAGAAGCAACACTGACAAATGACAGAACATAACTTTAATAAGCTGATCACACTAAGGGGCCTCAACGACAGTGGATAAGGCTGTACGTGCTCAACTCAAACGAAGCTCATTTACAAGATGTTCATTCAACCAATCGGCATCCCATTCTGCCTATGGCTGCACGCCAGTGATGATTGAATCATACCATCTTGTGTTTAGCATTTCATTATGATTAAATAATTATTCGACGTACAGTAAACTGACATTAATTTCTCATCCGCAACATTAGCATATATCCTTAAATATTTGACATTGTAGACGCATTTTTTTAATCTTATCTCTTCAGTTTAAACTAGCAAAAAAATAATTTCCAGCTTTCTCTACACGACAGTAAACAAAGTCATCCGATTTGTAGAATGGACATTTCAATGAGTTACAATTGTGCCAAGGGGTGCGCGATTGACTTACATCTA